TGAATTTATTGACTGCAACGTAGTGTAAATTTTAGTAGAAGTTGGTCATTGTCAGCAAGGGGGGAAAGGAGCTCAACTTCCAGCTGAAGTTGTTTATTAAACAATGTTAACCTTCAGGACTGCTGGTGTGTGTTCTCAAATATATCAGAAAATTCTCAATTTGAAAGGTCTGTGGTGCAGAGCTACAACAGCCTCCTGCCTGCTGACTTCTGTGCTCTTCTTCCTCTTCAAATGCTTTGAATGAGATCTTCAGTTTTGCCTTCACTACCTGGAGTACAGGTTCAAACTCAGGTGAAAGTAATATTTATCCATTTTTTTTTTCACAGTACGGTTAAGAAATTGGGACATTCAAGTCAGTTGACGTAAATACCTGTAACGCATTGTGAGATAAACCAGTGGATTGATTGGGAGGATTTTCTCTGATATTGTGATCCTCACCTTCCTTCCTGTTTGGTTGCTGTATTTCTTAATGCTGTTTGTTTTGTTTTTTTTTTGTTTTTTTTAGCAGCGTCTCATTTTTGCTTCACTGGATTCCTTAAAAAGCAAGACTTTTTAACCATAACATTAGTTAGATGTTAATGCTTTGCAACAGTGAATTGAGTGTTTAAATTAGTTATAGTCATTAAAAAAAATGAGGACATGCAAGTTATTTTTTAAGAATTGCTCACATTTCACTGTCCAATATTGATTTAATTGCCCAAAAGACAAAAACTATGTTTTCCAGCTCAAACTTTCCCTTTTAGCTGTGAGATGTTTGAGAGGTTCTTGGATATAAACCTCGTTTCAAGTTATGCTCAGCTTCTCGATTTGACTCTGCCCAGTATTTTCCATCTCCTAATTTTCAGGGAAGTTTGGATGGATTTGCTGGTGTGCTTTGGGTCACTGTCAGGTCGCCCCACAGCATCTCAATGTAATCAAGATCTGGGCCTTGACTCAGAGCTGGAATTTCTCATTTTCAGGGAGTCTTTGGTGGATTTACTGATGTTCTAGGATGGTCTCATGTATAAACTGAACTGCTTTTTGTCAGGGAAAAGGTTTGAAAATGTTTTTTAGGACAAAATATTTTAATTTCTAAGCATGGTGTTCAACGTAAGGGTTGCAGGACTGCATAGTTTTCATACATTTGCTGTTTCTCTGTCAAAGCTACTTGCCGTTTGTATTCATCATCATTTCATAAATACATTTAAGAAATACTTTCTTCAAGTGTGGTTTATTTCTCCCTATTGACACTGATATTAAATATTTACATGTCCAAATATGTTAGAAACATACAGAGGGAGAATTGAGCTGTAAAGACAGCAGTTGTACTGTATCCTTGTATTTTGACAAAAACATATCACACTTTATGACGATCTGAATAAATTGTCAGCCTGTGAAAAAGGGGGAAATGTGCGTCATGCAGTAGCTCCAGTTGCTGTGGTAAATTGTCTACCAGTGGGATCCAATGAGTTGTGTCAAAAGGAGGGAATAAAGTAACTCCAGGCATTTTAGTTGAAAGTAACTTTTTTTTTCTTTCATAAACTTCCTTTTGTGTGTCTACAGCATCCATCTCATGTCCACAGTTTCTTGCTTTTGTGGTCTGTTAGTTCTTAAAAGTGTCCAGCGTGCACGGTTAAACCTCTGGGTCTCGTTAAATTCCTCAGCAAGCATTTGCTATTATCTTTGTTAAAGAAATGTGCAAATGAAACGGGAATAAAGAAACAGCCTCTCAGCATGTAAGGTTGTTGAAGGCTGGGAAATCAGAAAATAAAACACCATATCTGATGAGCTCTCTGTGGTAAGGGGAAAAAAACAAACAACAAAAGGCCCAGAGCTGGAAAATTAATTAAAATGAAGTGTTTGTCTTATATAATATTCTTGATTTACTGTATTTCATATGTGCCACCCAGCTGAGTTGTGCAAACCTTAAGATGTATTCAGATGGAGAGCAGATTTACAGCTCTAAGTTTGTGTTCCTTAAAACATTCTTTCTGTTTTTAATCACGCATAAATGTCTCAAGACAAGTTTAACTAACAGAGTAAAATGCAGTTTTTAGATAACTTCAGTTTATTCAAGTGAAAAAAAAATCCTCCAAATCAAGCAGCCTGTATATGAAAAGCTAGCTAGTGACATATAATCATTTCAGTTTTTTGGAATCGACAAGACGTAAATTCCAGTCCTGTAGCTAGTTTTTCATAAATAGCAGTCTACATGAAAAACTAGCTGGTTTTTCATATAGACTTCAATTTGTCTAATTTTAATAATTTGTCACGCCACCCTTGCAGCATCGAATACTAATCGGCAATGAGTTTTGGCCTGCTTTCATTTTACAGACAGCGGTTGTACAGAGAGAACGCAATGTTTAAGATCACGCAAAGCCTCTCATTCTTTCAAGTTCAGCACTGTTCCATGTTTTCTCCATTTTTTGATACTCACTGCGGTTCCCTAGAGTCCCAAAGCCTTACAAGTGGCTCTGCAAAACTGGTCTTAAATTTAGTTTTTTTGATTCATAAGAATTTCTAGCCTACAATACTTCTTTTAGTCAAACAAGGTTTTTTTTTTTTTTAGAAATTTGATGGGTGACAATATTCACACATTGTAAAACATTTTTTAATAATCTGAAACAAATGCGACAAGGAGCATTACCAGACAAAAATGGACGTTGGTGAATACTTTTTCATACTGCATGGTTCTATCATGCTTTTGGGTTTTTTTTCCATCTATGTTTTTTTTTATTTTGTATTATTTTGTTTGGTGTTGACGAGATCACTTGGTGCTCTGTTGCATTTTTTCTTCACTTTCTTAGTCTGCATCCTTGTTTGGTCGTGTCAGTCCAGCACACCTGCTCTTTTGTTGCTTGCTGCATTTAAATATGCAGAACTGACAACTGCCTCATTTCTGGCAGTTGTTGAAATTACAGTTACACATCCAGTTTCATTTTGAGATTAAATTGCACAGTTTTCTGAATGTTAGGAAACTGTAAAATTATCTCATTTTAAGTTTTATGAAAAGTCATTAATGCTACAATATGCCTACACTTGTGTAGTAAAGATGACTTTGATTTGCAAAGACAGAACTAGACTAGATGAGCCTGAGCTGCAAAATGCATAATTTTACTACTTTGCAGACACATTTTTCATTCAGCATTTACTCAGAATAATTCAATCATTTGTACATCTCACTGAAAAATTAGCTCACACAAATTGCAAAAAACAAACAAACAAAAAACAAAACAAAACAAATTGAGTACTTTGACCATAAACCTGAGCTTGAGAAATCTGTAACTTCAAAATGAGATTTGTGTTCAATTTTGATGACATTTATTTCACAGACACCCAAACGTAAGTGATCCTCATTGCTTGCAATATTTAACTCAAAAGAAGAAATCACGTGTCTTTTGTTGTTATGTGTGCTGGAATGTGTAAAATCACAGTTTATGGGGTTAAGTAGAAAGAAATAAAGGAAGGAAATAAATCAATTCCTGTCATGTGTATGTATATTGTGTGTATTATTTATGTGTCCCTACTTTACATAATGTATGTAAAGAAATGAAGGGTTGTAGAATCTAAAGTGTGGCACTGCATAAGAAAAGAGTAAGTTACTTCTACCATGATGTCGCTGTCCCGTATTTTTTGTTGTCACTGTTAATCATCTAACCATCTTGGGTTGAAAGTTCGATGCTCTATATGGACACGTGGGGGGCACCAATTAGTGAAACTATTTGGTTAGTTATGAAGAAATACATTCCAAATCTCCAACTATGTGTGCCGTTAGGGATGTGACATGCTGAGGTGAGTGAATCTTCAGCAGGGCATACAGAATGTCTGCATAGGACAGAATGAGATTAAGTGACAGTTAATAGGACATTGCTGCCACATGTGTCAATTAAATATGTGTTGGTGGTACCTATGTGCAGTACATCTGGCATTTCTACGTTTCAACATGACTAAGACATCAAAATAGGCAAGATGGGTACACTGCGTTCATAAAAGGGATGGACATTACCAGTCAGAATTATTCAGTTATTCCATAATGTTGGAACAATTCTCAATTTGTACTGAGGGGTTTAAGGGTTTCAAGAAAATCTTCCCCCACAACCAGTCTGAACCATGAGTAAGAGATGGGATGAATTTATGCTTCCAGTTTGTTTACACTAAGCTAAGAATGTGTCTTGTCAGACCAAGAGATGTTTTGTCAAGATGTGTAAATTGCAGCATTAGTTTTCTGTTCTTCAGTGACAAGAGGCCTTCTGCTGCTGCAGCTAAAAGTTTGCATCAATTCATTATAAATACCAAATTAGATTCTCTCTCAATTTTATTTCCGTGTCGTACTGTAGTTTCTCAACTCTACTGTAACTTTACTGTTGCATACTTTACTGATGGTAGCAATCTGTTACCAGCCTTACCCTTTGATGACATTATTCAGTATTAAAAGTTTCATCTGAGCATAAATATGGGACAATCATCTGTATTATAGCTATAGGTAGAGGTGTTCTCACATTCAAAGGCTGCGAAATACTTCTTTAATGGGAACTAGTTTGTGCTGCAACTTTTACTTTTGTAGTCATTTTGTAGAAGAGTGTGTCAGTCCCCTAAATGGAGTTTTACTCTGTCATAAAACTTCTCTCTTTTCAATACAACAGATTTTCCACTGTGAGGATTTTTTTTATTATGATGAGTCATGAGGAAGGTTGTTTCTGGCAGCCTGAGGTGCTGAAACAATGCATGAGGATTGAGAGATTTTTTTCCCTACCCCTTTCTAACTGAAACAGCAAGTGTAGCAAAATGTCCTATTTCAAAAAAAAAAGCTGTCCCAAACTATTCTTTCCCCCATTGCTTAGGCAAACACAAAATGAGACGCACCAGATGCAGCAAAACTCACTTCCAGGAGCATTCCTGTTTACTTGTAAAGTCTAATTGGTAGGCTCGCTCCTTGGCCTGAGAACTACTTTTCTAAATGCAACCCGCTTTCTTTGCAGTTAAACACAAGACGCCTATGGAATGAAAACACGGCTACACACTGCACTGTTAATGTTTACTGCGATGGCGTGGACGTGGCGATGATCTCTGTTGAGCTCTCTCGTCTCTGGAGTGATCTCCGACGTCCTCAGATGACAGCTGTGTGAAGCCACCAGTTTACATCGAGACAGTGCAGGTCTCTGTGGCCCCTTATGCCAGTGGACGTTAGTATCGGCTGCATCCCTCTGTTTGAGATTTATACCCATTAATAATTCATTCTCTGCTGCTGACTTAGGAGGCCCTGTTTCTCCCTACTGCATCACGCTGGCCCCTTTCATATGCTCCAAAGTGACGCATGGTGGAGTAATGTGCAGAGCCGCTTTAGTGGCCCCTGCATTAATGCTGAAAGAGAGGCAGGACAAAAAGAAAGAGTGTGATAAAAAGCTCCATTTTTACTCACTCTCTATTCTCCGTCTCTCTCTCTTAAACACGGTTGCTAAGCTACACCACAACTAATCACCAGGAAAATCATCCTTATTCAAAACCATATCTCCAGCCTGTGTGAGGACATACTGTATTCTGCCCTTCTAATTGAAGATATTACTGAAAACAAAGTAGTGCTTGGAAATACACATTCATCCCGTTTTTGTTTTGTTCCCCTCATATTTAAATGTCAGCTCAACAAACACATTTTAATATTTGAGAAATAACCCGAGTAAATACAAATAGCGGTTTTAAGATAAATATTTCACTTATAAAGGGAATAAAACTATCTAAAGCTGCCTGACTCAATATGGAAATGTAAATGCTCCTGCTGTTAAGCAACAAATTAATTGTGGTTAACTGTTACATTTTTCCAATTCAGTTTCACAAGCCACATTCAGATTTAATTATAGTTAAACTTGTAGAATCAAGAAATCTCTTAAAGGAAAACTAAAGTCACATCAAAATATGAACATTTTTAATGAAAATTGTTTGGTGAAAAGCTTCCACAAAGCATTCCAGAAACCAGTTTCTCCTACCTAAAACGTAAACATTTTGTTTTTAGGATTTTGGTCAATGAATGGTGAAATGAGGCGATTTCTTTGGGGTGGAGTTACCGTCCTCCATCACCCTGGATTCATGACTTGCACTGTGACTCTGTTTTATTGGTAATGAGTATTGAAGAAGAATCAACATTAGAAATTATGTTATTATACTAAAAAACATATATTATAAGCATATTGTATGATTTTCTTTCACTCTGTATTAGTTTAAAATTCCTCTTTTAAATAGTTATCCTTTAAACAGAACCTGTTCTACAGCTCAAAGTGGGTTAAAAACTCTCAACAAGCAGCATATGCATAAATATCAGTGGCTTCGTTTGAGTCTGGAAAGTGCTGAAGGTTCTGAGACTCCAGTGAACCACGGTGAGAACTTTTCTCCACAAATGGAGAAAAACAAGGAACAGTGGTGAACCTTCCCAAAAGAGACCAGCTGGAAATTAATCCAGGAGTCCATAGAGGACTCAACAAGCAGGTGACAAAAGAACAAAAACATTTGGTTCATTGCCATGACCTGTGTTGGACAAGAAAGAGAGTTCCAAGTGAAAAGCGCTGCTGATCAAAAAGACCAGTCTGACATCTTCTAAAAACAAAAACATTTCGACTATCCACAAGACTTTTGGGAAAATATTTTGTGGGCTAATGAGACAGTTATATCCAGCTCCAACTAACATGGCATTTCTGTAAAAGAACATTTTATCCACAGACATGGTGGTGGTAGTGTGAAAGTATGAGGCTGCGTTGCTTCTCCACCGTTGTATCTGTACCATGAACTGATGGAACCATAGATTCTGCTCTCTTGCAAAAAACGCTGAGGAGGAAAGCCTGGATATCACATTGTGATGAAAAGCTAAAGCACACTTTGGTTTTGCAGCAGGACAATGATCTGAAACACACCAGCAACTCTGTGTCAGAATAAATAACTGAGGCTGTTCATGTTGAAAAATCCTCAAATGTAAGTGACTGAAAACAATTCTGCAAGGAAGAGCTGACCAAAATTCCCCCATAGGGATAAATAAGACATATTGCTCATGTTTTTCATAACACCATACAGATGGCACAATGAGTTACCAGTTTGAGAGGGTGCTTACTTTTTCATTTAGGGTCAAGCTTTTTCAAAGCTTTTTTCCAATATTAAATTAAATCCTAATTTAAAAACTATTGAATTAACTTTAGTTACCATTTCTTTAATAATCTGAAGCTTTTACATATGTCCAAAAAGCAACACAGAAGAAATCTCTAAAGGGGATCGTGAAAAATACCTTTCACAGGCACCGTATGTCCAGTGGTTAAGGATGATTTAGTTGACAGCGTGCCTAAATAAGTCAACAGTTCGTTGCTTGTCAGTGTTCCTAAATTGAAGTTTAATATCCTCTGCTTCTGGCAATTTCCTACATCCTCAAGGCCTTCATGTTTCCAACCAGTCACCCAGGACCTGGATGGAAATCTTTCCCATCACCGTTCACCACCTCTGAGGGGAAAGATTATGAAGATTAGATTTGCCCTAAATAGATTTTTTTTATGGCAGCCAGAAACAATGCTATCTCAGAGTCACTCTATATGCAATTCGCTCTGCAGAATGCCTGGCAAAGAGCACTTGCCTTTCATTTGTGTGCGAAGCATGGCTTTGTGTGCTCTTGATTGAATCTTGCAAGGAAAGTAATGGCGAATGTTATGACTGGTGACGTAAGGGCATAGAGACTAATATTGCTCCCTGCCTTCCTCGGCAAACCACAAGTCTATGCAATCTGTCTCCGGGTCATAAAGATGCTACACCTGCACTGATTTACTGTAGGAGCTGCCTCACCTAGCCCACTGGGAGTTTGTGTATATATGATTATTATTATTATGGCTGAAAATGTCAACATGATCATTACAACAACAATCTTTCCTTCTTTCTTGACACACCAGCTCCTGCTCAAAATAAAACAGCTTTATTCACTCCCACAACTCCTTGGTACACTCCAGAACTTTGTAAAATGAAATCCTAAAAACATCAGTTTGAGAGACTGCACAAAAGTCTGGTTTTGCTCTCGGTCTGAAAGCCCACACAGGTTACCTTCAGCAATATGAAGCTGTACTAAAAACAGCCCAGTTCAGTAATAAACTCCTCAGCCCCCCTGACAATGCCTTATTATCCTTTACCCTTAACAAATGTGAAACCTTTTTATTCCAAAGTCAACACCAAATACAGCTCTTTCTCTCCCTCCAGGAATCCCAACTGAATCATTTTCCACCAGCTCTACTCAACCACTCGCCAAGTCCACCCTTACTTCAACTTCTTCAGTTGACCTTTCTGAACTTCTGTTTTCATTACTCACCATCTTCCAACTCTCTCACCTCTGGTTCTGTCCCACAATCTCTCAAACTGGCCCAGTCCAGCTCTAAAGAAACCCAGTCTTTATCCTGGGAATCTCACAAACTTCAGGTCAATATCCAACCTTCCTTTTATGTCCAACATTCTCGAATATGTTGTGCCTGCCCAACTCAAAACCCATCTTAACTCTAACAGTTTGTCCAAACCATTTCAGTCCAGCTTCCACACTCACCACTGCACAGAAACTCTCCTCAAAGTCTCCTCTTTTCCTCGGACTCTTAGCCAATTCAGCATCGTCATCCTCCTGGACCCCACTGCAGCATTCGATACCATCAGCCACTCCAATGTTATCTCCTGCCTCTATAACACTGACTCTGTTGTAGCCTGGTTGAAGTCATACCTCACCATCAACAGTTCATCTGCATCAATAAGTGCTTCTCCATAACTGCCCCCAGCCTCGTCACAAGGCGGCGTCCCCCCCCTCCCCGAGGCACCGCCAGATTCTCCATTTTTATTGCCAAGCTGATGACATTCAGCTTCGGAAATCACCCCACCCACAGTCGCACTGTAATAAAAACCTGGATGAAGCAAAACTTTAAACTGAAGTATGATGAACCTGAAATCATTGGTTCCAAAAACATCACTAAGTCCACTGAATATTTCTTTTTGTCCATAGACACTACCGCCCTATTTCCATCACCACTCATCCACAATCTTGGCATTTAATTTGACTCCTTCAAAACCATATCAAAAAAACAACAACAAAAAAAACAAAAAAACTAAGACTGTTTACTAAAGTAAGATGAGAAGAAAACAAGTATATATTGGAATAAATGCATTGGCAGCAGAAAATAAGTTGCTCAGCAACTTTATAGTAAGCAGTAAACTAGAAGTGAAACATATGAATTTGGCTAAAAGACCTGTGGGTATTATAAAATGAATCATTTTATAAAATGAGTCATTTTATAAAATGAGTCATTTTATAATACATCAGCAACATCTGACTGAAAAAAATTCTAACATTTTTACATAATTATTCAACAGACATGTTGACTTAACCACTGCACAAAATCCTGTTGCCATTTGCACTAATGCACTATTACCTCTATGTTTCTAGACATATGTGCCGGTAACAAGCTGGATATTCATTCAGAGAATGCTCTTAGCATTTGAATTTCAAATTTGGATTCATCAGACTGCTGGTTATTCTACCGTTTCTTTCTGTCGTTTTCAGTAAGTTTTGGCTCAGACGAGGCAAAAGCTTCTGGATGTTGGTTAAACATGCAATGATCGATTTCAATTTGTTCCAAAAATGCATACAATTTTATATATAATTTTCAATAAGTATGTGATTAGAAACTGGAATCTATTTATCCCTGTAACATGCTGACATTGTTCTTATTATAACAAGAACTAATAACCCAAAATGTCTACGCTCCCACTGGCAGAAAGTCTTAATAATGATTATTTATGTGCTATAGTGGTGAGGGAACTATTTTCCATGCTCTCTGGACCCGTGTTAGTAGACGAATTGACTGGCAACACACCAATTTTCTATTTGGGTGCTCCTGTGCTGGTTGGTTCACAGGAGGCAGCTGGGTTTGTTAGTGTCCTGTGGAGGCAGAGACAGGTAGACAAGAGACAGCTAGATGTAATGACCCCCACCATCAATGACTAAGCAGCAGCAGCTCTGGATGGCTGAGAAAGTAAACCTGATATTAATGACAGCATAGCTATAATAACCACGGCTGCCTCATTCTCCTCTGTGGTGCAGAAAAAGTCAGCTGGACGGGCTGCTGGTGGGAGTAAGGCTTTGTAGAAATGTGTGCTGGCAACAACATATGCATTTCTGCCACGCAATTATTTATATTCAAAATTTTACCTCTAGTAGGAGGGATACGTAAAAAAAGTTTAATATCGGTTTAGCATTACCGATGGATCTGGCTGCATCAAATTAACATTTATTAAATTGTTTATTTTTGATTTTTTTTTTTTTTTTTTTTACACAGCTACATCTAATTGTTTTAAGTATAATTCTAGCG